ATATTTCAAACATACATACCCAATAAACCCAAGGAGGCAGATTCTGGAAATAAGAGGGAAACTGAATGAAGGAAGAACTACTGAGCTTGAGCTGCATGGATTCAGACATCAGGAAAGATGTTAGCAACTTTTGATTAAATTTGTTCATGGTAGTAGATGATTATTAGAGATGAAAGTAGACCTGCGAGAGATGAAGACAAAAGGTAACAACAAAAAGTTGCTAATTGCAAAAGAGTAGGCGACGAAGACATAGTAGCTCATTTCCCTCAAAGTTGCAGATTTGAATAGAATGTTTGTGCCAACGTTGGAGCATTCAACTGCAACCATGGCTGCAAATGGCAGCATTTCCCTGTACCAGTACCTCCTTGCCATGCCTGTTTCTCAAGCTAACCTTCCCATGTTAGAAGAATGTCATTTTCTCGTGCATCAGATTACTATATAGGAGAAAAAAAACTACTATGGCCCACTATCAGGTCCTATATATAGCTGAATATACGTCAGACTAATATTTTCCTTAGGGTGTTCTAAAAGGTCCAATTGCTGAATATACATATTAAAAAAAAAAAAATTTAAGACTATAAACACCTCAAAACTACTTTGTTTTATTAGTACTATGAGAAAAGATCAAAACAAACTCAATTTTGATTTAAAAATATATTATTTTAATCTTTTTTAATAGGAATTTATTGTAAAGACATTAAAAATCTAATTAATAAATACAAATTTTAAACACCACACTAAGTTATATAATAGAGAATATCACGACTAAGATATTACATAAGTCTTAAACATAATAGTTTTGAATGATAAAAAAGCACAGGTAAAAAATTGGGTTGAAAATCATTACCCACTACTCACTGCCTATATTAATTTCATTTTTATCATTTTCAGGTTTCTCCCTGTTAATATCACTACACATATTAATATTATTTTTATTATTCTTAAATGCCACGCTTACAAAAAATCTTAACAATTTATCTCTCTGCTTCCAATGGTTGAATTTGGTTGAATTTTATAAATAAATCTCAACTATTAAAAGTAGAGAGATAAATAATTATTATTTTATATAAATGTAATATGTAAGTTTTGTGTATAAGTAAATCTTTATTTTTATATATATATACTCCAAAATTCTCTTAACTGATTAATAGTTTGAGATTTCAAATTAAAAATTTTGAGTTTAAACCTTAAAACAAATGGAAAGGAATTAAGGGAAAGGGAGGGATATTACATATTATATAAGTTACCAAAAATATGAGTATAGTGATACAGAAGATGAAAACTTTAGATGAAAATTGGAGACTAATGATGTGACATAATTTATGTCATTAGATTAGTTAATACACACAATATTATAAGTTTCAATAAAGTGAAAAAAATTTATTATTAATTAATATAAACTCCATCTCTTAATATTTTAGACAACGTAACTTATATGGCATATCATTGGTCCCAAATTTTGGTCTCAATCATTCAAATATATATATAGATATATAATATCTGTCACAATTTCTTGTGATGGATGAAGAAAGCAAGGCATATTTCTCTCCTCAATGGTTGGTATGGTAGATTATTGGTGGGCCTTTCTTTTTTGGCAATTAGGTGGGATGATATGTCATTTATTTATTTTGATAGGCAAGGTATGACATGTTATTAATTTGGAATATATCCAACTTAGCAATTATTCATGGCAAATTTAGAAGATTTACATAAAAACCACAGTGATTAAGAATCCGGCCAGCATCTTTAGTGAAAGGTGCAATAAAAAATAAGCCTATATTAAAAAAAAAAAAAAAGGGGGGGGAAGGGTCCTAACTCCTCACAAACATGCTTGATTCATTATTTAACTTCATATTTTGTCAAATAGGCAAAAAGTTCATATCTCCTTAGTTTTCTCAATTTTTTGCTCGATTTCTGCAGTTTTGAGAAGGTTAGGATCAGGATGAGGTTGTTAATATCTCCTCAAATGGAGCAAGATTTGATTGGAAGTGCAAAATTTAGAAACACACTTTAATTTATTATCAAATTCTTGCCATTTTCTTGCATCGGCATTTCTACTACCTTCAACTCTATAGCTTAGTAATAAAGCTAACTAGCTAATAAGAGTTTAGTCAAATTAATACTCATTAATTTAAAAACTTTAATTTAAAGTGAAAATCAGATATTCAAATTTTTGTGTTGTCGAGCAACTAACTCTTTAATATATTAAAAAATAAAGCTAACTAATCACCTACTGAGGTTTTAATTAGAGTTATCCACCACTGTTTCTTCTTCCTCTTTTTCCTATATAACACCATAAAACCTAATGGATATAATTACTTCAATGATAGTGCCATTTCAATGTCAAGAAGGTATAAATACAATTGGTGATTATGAAAATAGCCAAAACAAGTACATATAAAATCATCAGAAAGATTCCTCCTTTCCAGAAAAACATTATAAACTTCATACTATTTCACTGCTCTGCAGAAGAGGAGTCTTTGGACCAGAAGACTCCGTGGTAGAGTTTTCATTTTGCAAGCCCATGTTCTTCTCTTTCGTTTTTCCCCACATCACACCATAAAACCCAACAGTAATTATAACAGATCCAACCACACTGCAACCAAAAATAAAGCAGACCATTTTTCTCCCTTTATAATGATAACCTTGCTACATTTATGAAACAATAAGAAATTGTCTTAGCTAAGGTATAAATGTGAATCACCATAGGCTAAATTATATTTTTAAGACAAGGTTGTTTATATGTGTTCTCATGTCTTTAAGTAAAGTTGTTTTTTAAGTGTCCTCTCAATGTGCATATCACTGTCTGTTATTGAGGTTGTAACAAACTTGGATAAGTTACCAGATATGGTTCATAGAGACATGTTCTGAGCTAGCTTCTAAGTTCTGAACAGAATAAACATACCTGCCAAGATGAAGGATTTCCCCAAGAAATGTGACTGTCATAACTACTGCAATGGCGATTCCCAAGGGTTTGAACATGACTACATATACAGGGCCCTTCTTGCGCAAGCACCATGTATGAATGGCAATCCGGAACAAACTCCCAAGTATTGCCTACAATAACACTTCCATATCAGCACATGGTATTTCCTTACTGGCAAAGTTTCCAACAGGTTGAGAAAGAGAAAGACAAAACATGTTAGCACCATTTTGCTTCTTGTCTTGTATCTCAATATAAATCTCCAACCCTGTCACTGAGATTTTCTTTCTGGTTGGCAATATGAAATTTGAAGGGGAACAAAGTTAGAAAGTTTGGTAATTAACCCACTGTTGCAAATGGATTCAGTTACAAAACTGTTTTTTGGTTGAAGTAGTTTAATCTAACACGTCAGCAATGTTATAAAAAAGTTGACTAATCAGCAAATCAAAACCCCATCCAAGAGTCTACAGTTAGGTTTTGAGGTCATTCTCACCGTTGACACAATGGCTATCACTTCAACGCTAGATTTCAGTCTCCAGGCAGCTGGATTTCGTTCCAAAATGAGAGCGAAAACTGTAGCTTGGACAGTTATAAAGAAAGTGAAGAAGAATACGATTGTCATTTCATCAGGATAAGCCTTAACTGCAGCAGTCTGAAATTGTAGAATCAAATCAACTTTTAGAATTAATAATGTATCATAGGCACTCTGTTTAAAAATGGAAAGAATACTGTATTTTGACAATTCTCCCAGAAAAATTTTAAGTGCAAAACTATACCTTTTTATTCAAACACCTAAGTCCCCCAGTACCACAACAAAAAGGTCAGAGATGGAATTTTTATGCAGTCCAATCTGGTAATGGCTTGTGAGCTAAATTTAACAAGCCTGTGGGTAGAACATATATTACCTGGAAAATAGTCCATGTTGCAGATGACAAGCTAGTCAATAGAAGAAGAAACCCCCCAATAATCCACCTAGAATCCTTAGAGAGAAGAAACTGATGAAGAAAGTTAGAAGATGATGTGGCCGCCAGGACTGGAGGGCCCTTATATAGAGTAACCGCCAATGCTCCTGTTACTGACACAATAGCTCCCAAGACTTTGGCTTGACTGCTTGATCTTCCGAAATCTACCTTTTCCATCCTATAGGATAAAGCACAATTAGGATTTTCTTTCTCCTTATTGTTTTTGCTTTTTATCAGATTATGAAAAAAAAAAAGAAGAACAAAATGACATTTCATTCAGATTGACTTTGTTTTGCATACTGAGGTAATTAAAAATGATCCAGAACTTCACCAACCTGAACATGATTGCAAGCAAGAAAGTGAAAATAGGGGTGAGATTCATGATAGCTGATGAAAGAGTAGGGGAACTGAATTTGACACCAGTAAGATATATCATCTGCCCCACGCTCCTGCCAAAAACTAGTTGTTCATAATTACAGAATTCAGTACATTATACGCACATACCATGTGTCAAAAGAAAGGGAGCAGTCTGAAACTCTGCATTTTTCGGGTAGTTGAAACTTAAGGCCTTCTTTATTCACACTTTACCCTATTAAGGCAAGAAGGAAAAACATCCTAAGCATTGAGAAAGATAGAGGAGCTTCTTTCTTTCTGCAGAAAAGAAAGATTAAAACTTCAGAGAACCCAGAGAGCAATTAAAACGAAACAGAATTGGCTAATGTAAATGGAGGAAATTATGATCAAGACAGAGACCTGAAGAAGATAAAATATGGGAGAAGAATCAAGGTACCAAGGGCATTAGAGTATACAACTGGAACAAAATTGCTCATTCCTCTTGTCAAGGCTGCTTTGCTTATTACTGATAGACCCACATCTGTGCACTCCACTGTTATCATTGCCACAAATGGCACTGCACTCCACAGATATGAAGTCAAGCCCATCTTCCACCTGCACTTTTTTGCTTACCCTGCTTGATTCTACTATGGTATTTGCACTACAAACAACAGTCTGAGGGAATCAGAGAAACCAAAGCACTGAAAAACTGAAAGAAAAAGATGCCAGTCACTGATGCCAATAAAGGTAGTAGTTGATGCCAATAAAGGCAGTAGTTGATAGATTGTCGTTTACTTAGCGCATAATTATTATTGGGTCTTTGGGTATCTGGGACTGGGACTTTGGCAGGGGCGGGTATCGATAGGGTCATTTATTCAGTTGCCTCAAATTTTGCGCAATGGTATTTATTTATTATTCAATATCATTAGAGCCAAAGATAATTTTTTTGATATTATTGATTACTTGTTAAATTAGAGAAGTCTCAACTATAAGTTTATGATTTAATTATTGCTTTATATATAAAAAAAATTACTTGTTGAAATTTTTTTCAATAAAATCCCTTATCACTACTATATTAATATTTACCAACTCCATTCGATATTATTCTTTCATTTGTAAATTTAAAGTATTATAATTCTAGTAAACCTTATAGGGTATATATTAAATGAAATAATTTTTAAATTTATACACCTCTGTTATTTTTGGT